TAAAACGTTTCACCCGTTTGTTGAGCTGTTTATCACGCTTTCCAGGGTCCTGGCCTGCATGACTGGCCAAACCCGGCGTGAGCAGCGTCTCTGTGCGGCACAGCCCGGCTTGCTCTCCCCGAAATGCTGCCCTGGAGCTTTCCAATTACAGCCTCCCCTGGCCCCAGGAGCTCACTGGAGGATCCTCCAGCTGACATTTGTCCTCAGGCCCCTAAATCCTGCTGCTGACCAGCTCACTGGATCCCAGCTGAGCTAGCGGAAGGCAGCAAAACATCGCCAGCGACTGCCAGTAATTGAAGTTTTTTAACCCAGATCTCTCGAGGGAGATGATGAGTTTTCACCAGGGATCCTTTCTGCAGGCGGCAGGGGGCATATCACCATGTCACAAGCAGGAACGTTTTTTTTATCTCCAGAAGGGTCCTTTCCTTTTTTTTTTTTTCCTCCTCTTTTCTTTTTTTAACTTACATCTGCCCTGGGCCATTTTTTGATGAGCTTCTGTCTCTGATCTGCCTGACATTGCAAATGCTCTTGCCTTTCACATCCATCTTTGTGCTGTTGCCAATCTGTTGTGTATAAAGTCAGTGCTCTCATAAGCTGGCTGAGATGAAATCTCTCTAATTATTTTTGTGATTCTTTCCTGTTTTCAATGAGGGAAACCTTGCTGCTGGTAGAAGCCGACTGATCCTTCTGTCATGTGAAAGGTATTGAATTTCTGCAGGTCTCTTGCTCTTTCCTCCCTTGCCGCCTCCCAGGCTCCAGCTGGGCAAGGGAGCAGGTCCCATCCAGCCGGGAAAGGTGTGTGCAGCCCCAACTGCAGACGCAGCCTCCCTGTTTGGCTCCTGGCAGGGTGCGTGCATGGGTTTTTCCCTGCCATTTTTGTTTCTTGTGGAGCTGCCTTTTCAGGTGGTTACACCCTGCTATCCCAGGAAGCTGACTTGTGTTCAAAGGCTCTGCCTGTCCCGTGGCACTTGCCTTGTCTTGCAGGTTACAGGGACAGCTCTGGCAGCCCAGTGTCGGTGGAGGGGAAGGTGTTCTCCACCCGACGAACCTGGGCACCAGAGTAATTGCAGGGCTGGGTTAAATGGACTCGAAGCCCCTCTGGGCCGCTGTCCTCCCTGCGCCGAGCTGTCAGCAGCATCAGCTCCTACAGCAACAGACTTCACTTGGCTGTGTTGTGCTCAGCTCTCAAGGCTCCCCTCGCCCCACACCATGTGCAAACACATCCCATAAGAAAGGACTGGCGTTCCTGCTACAGCCTTGCCAGGGCTGAGGGCTGGCTGGGACAGCAGGCAGGCAGGACAGAGGTCTCTGCCACCCTTTGCCTTGTCAACAGTGGCAGCAAAATGCCACCGCTCCAGGGGACGTGCAGCCAGCAGAGCTGGGCTCTCTCTGCTCCAGCTGGGCTGCCGAATCCCCCTGGCAGCCCCCCTGTTCCCACTGATGTGCTGGCGTTAGGTGGGTTGTTTTATGACTTAACGATGCCTTTGCACAGTGGTGCTGGGGCCGGAGGTGTCACTGGCTCGAACATTGGGACCCTTCGCTCGGGGCAGGGAGAACCAGTGTGAACCAGTGTGGTTTGTGCTGGGCCGGGGGCTCGCGGCGAGGGCTGGAACCCTCGGGATTTTGCAGCCTGTGTGCTCGGTGCAGGAGTTCAGCTGTGAAGCACAGTGAGATGATTTGAATAATTTAATATCGGGCTGTGACCAAGCCTGGTGAAAGGGTAAAGGAAACAAAGAGGCCCCCAGCCCCGAGCAACAATAGCTCTTGAAACGACAAGCTGAGGCATGTCCACGCTGCCGGAGGCAGAGAGCAGCCTGGGCAAATAGGCCAATTGCATTCCTCACGTCTGCTTGCTTTGTTTCCCTGCAGAAGCTCCCAGTGAAAACTGCAGGTCTCTGGGCTTCTCCCTTTATCCTTGTTTTGTTCCTGTGTCCTGCAGAGCTGGTGGTTGGATCAGCCGTGTCCCTGTGGCTCTTCCCGGTAAGGGAGGCAGGGCCAGAAGGGAGTGGGTAGGGGAGGTGATGCAGGGATGAGGCTGCCTGGTCCCACCTCGTGCATCCTGGCCAGTGCGGGTCCCCCCTGGTCACTGTCCCGCAGGGAAAGGCCGTCCCTGTGCTCGGTAAGATCCTGCTGACCTGGGGCCATCGCTGTCTGCAGGAAACAGCCCAAACCGCCTGCTGATCCCGGAGCTGATTTGATTTGATTTGATTCTGGCACCTCTGCTGTGGCTGCATCCCCGTTCCCACGAGGCTTGGCAGAAGGTGCGGCTGCCGTCCGTCTGTCCATCCACCTCCCTGCCCTTACCCCCCCGCCTTCCCTGGGCACAAGGCCCCAGAACCAGGGAGAGGACTCTCCCCGCTCCTTTCCCCAGGGCAAAACGCTCCGCCTTAACTTCTTTAGAAGCCACAGCGTGAGCTTTCTGTCCCTCCAGTTTAAGTTAAATACAAGGCAGAGGGATGGAGCAGGGGTGCAGGGCAGGGAGAGGCCTGGGGAAGAAGGCAGGAGGCCTCCCCGAGCCCAGATGGGTTCAAGGACTGACCTGTCATGGGGGATGCAGAACATACATATCACTGCACAAAGGGATTGCCCTGCCTGGAGGTTGAGCGTCGCCTTTGTGTGAGACAAATGCCTGGCTGTGATGCTGAGTGTGGGGAGGGCTTCGTTAGGCAGAGGGGAAAGGAAGGGATCTTTGTTTGCAGGGTCTGACACCTCCCAGCCGTCCTGCCAGCACAGCCAGCGCCTTCTGATGGCTTTGTCAACTCCTGGCTAATTAGCGGAGATGCTTTTTGGTGAGGTTAGGAAAGAAAAATTTTTAAAACATCAAAGGGAGGCAGTAAATAGTGATAAACCTCGGCTCTGTTTCATGCCTATCATCGGAGACGCAGGCTTTCTGAGCTTGCAGGAGTGGTGTGCCCTATGCCTTCTGCGGGGGGGGGCCCATCGCCCTGTGGGATGCTGACACACGGGGCCGAGAGCCTGTCCTTTCAGCTCGAGCCTGGTCCCGTAGCGGTGTCCAAGGACGGTTTTTAGGGCCAGGTTGCAGCGTGCTGGTGCGGGTGTCTGGGGTAGTGCCTTTTTCTTGTTGGCAGGCAAGCCTGGCTCCAGGGCGTGCTGGGACTTAGTGGCAGAACCAGATGGACCTCGGGGGCTGCTTGTAGATCCTGCCCTGGGGGTTCATGGCTCTGAGCAAACTGGGATGGGAACATCTCAACAGCAGGTTGCCCCCCCATGACAGCTCGGAGGTGCCCAGTGCACCCTGCTGCTCTCTGTACAGTTGCCTGCTATCATTTTTTTTTACATGTCGGGTTTCCAGGCTCTCTGGAAGCTTGGTTAAAGTTTAGCTCACTGCTCACCACTGTCCAAGCAGGCTACCAGCTAGTCATGACCCTTGGAAAAGACCCCATGGTGGTTGTTCATGCTCAGCATCCAATGGTACAAGCTTCCCTACTATTTGGGTGTTGGGAGCTAAAGCCCTGTTGCAGCTCGGGCCGTGGCAGGGTAACCTGTTATCCCTCGGGGTAACCCCAGAAATCAGCCACCCATCCCCATCGTGGCAGCTCTGGCAGCGAGAGCAGGCAGGCTGCCTGCCTTCCCTGCCCTGGGCTGCTGGAGGATTTTATTTTAAGCAGAGCCTCTCGGGGAGAAGGGTAACATGAGCTCCTTGAGTGACAAGTGATAGAGCTTGACTTGCTTAGCGTGTCCCCCAGGAATCCCTCTCCTCTGCCATTTGCTAATTGAAAACTGCTAACATTTGGGTCTGGAGCAACTGCCGCCCTGAATGGGAAGCTGGCTGGAGTGTGCGTTGGTGGGACTAACACATGTTCGCAGCCTGTCATCTGCTTGTCTCCATCTCTAGGGAAAGGGGAAAATACGCCCATATGCTGCTCTGGTTTCTGAAAGAGTGAAGTGGGGGCTGGAACCAGGCAGGTTTTTCTTTTATTCTCCCTCCTCGGAGCCCTTGCTGGGAGCTTAGAAACCAGGGGCCACGGGCTGCTGTTGGCTGCAGGCCAGGGCACGAGCCCTGAGCAGGACAAGGCCACGGGAGCGTGCGGGACCCCTGTGCCTGCGGCATGGGAGGACTCAGGGCAGCCCCTCCATGTCTTGCTCCGCTGTTGCCCGGCTGGGACACGGGTCACTCTCTGCGGTGGGAGCGGGGGGTGGCAGCTGTGATTAAAAAAAAAAAAAATCCCTGTGCTACACTGGATCAAGTGAAAACCCATAGGAGTTCTAACACTGGCCCTTAATCAAAGTCTGCAGAGACACAAAGGCTTTGAGCTAATCTATGCCAAGCCATGTTGGACAGCATGGCACTGCCTAGAGCATCCTTCTGGTGTCATTTAAAGCACCTGGTGCCCTAGGAAAAGAAATTGTATCTAAGGCTGTAAATTCTGTTTTCCTTATACTCATCTACCGCCCAACAGTAGCTGCTCTGATAGCAGCATAAGATTTCATGGGAAAGAAAATGCATCACTATTTTTATTTTATTAATTTATTTAATGTATGACACCCAAGTGGTTATCTGCACACACTCTTCCTCATTGTGTATTTCATGTGGTTTAATATAATTAAATTATCATTGCATTCATTGATTTAACTCAAATCTTAATTTGATAATTGGAAAAGGTATGCATTGGGGATTAATTGTTATTCCAAGTGAACTTAAACAGAAGTAACTAAAGCTGGTGCGAGACTTGACCAAATTGATGATTTAAGGGTGTTCAGTTACTTCCTGCATTGTCTTTGTGTGATGTCTTACACTTCTATTTGTCAGCTTTTCCTGACTTAATTATGATTAAGTGTTGAACTTTACAGATAGCCAACTGCTGGTACTGTTGTATTGATTAGTTGTTTTTATTAATGTGTTAAATTTTGTGGTTACAACAGGAACATATTTCATGATAGTGCAGCTAATAGCTGGAGAACTCTGCCATGAAACTATCAAGCAGCCCAGCTTTAGCAGGTATTCCTTTGCTTTCAATTTATCTTTTTTTTTTCCTGCTTATTTATTCATTTACATCTAATTTTCTTAAGGATATTTCTGAAGTGTTTTCATGCTAAAAGACAAACCTGTGTCACTTTTTAACAGGTAGCAGCAAGTGAACAGAATACCACTACCACTTATACCTGTAAGCACAAGTACTACAACTGTCTTTCTTTTTGTTTGTTTTTGGTTTTTTTGGGGGGGGGGGGGGGGGGGGGGGGGGGGGGGGGGGGGGGGGGTGCTCTCGGTGAGGAGGAGGAGGAGGAAGAGGAGGGCTGGGTGAAGCCCGGAGCGGCGAGTTTCGAGCGCTTGCAGATTTGTGCTTAACCCCTTCCTGCCCCGGCCCAGCTGGAGGAAGCGACGGGGTGGGAGGTGCACAGGTGAGAGCGACCCGGCCGTGGGCGCTCGCTGGGAGCGAGGGGACGGGGCCCCTTCCCACCCCCGCCCACGCTTTGGCAGCTCCGGCCCCGGTACCGGCAGCGGGGCACGTGCCGGGGCCGGTGCTGCCCGGTTCTTGGCTGCCGTGCCCGGCGCGGGGCCGGGGGGTCCTGCGGTGGCACGGCGAGGGGGGGCCCGTGCCCCCCGGGCCGGGGGTGGGGCGGT